ATTTATTTTATCTCTATTTTTGACAGTTTTATATACATATATAAATGTACAATATGTTGTGATTATATTCATTCCCTGTTACCATCTGTCATTCCTTTTCCTTTGACCCCTTCTTCCTCCTAGTCTCCTATGGGTATGCCATTTAAGGAAATACCACCCCCTTTTATAGCTACCATTAAGCCAACAGCTCTTCAGGAAGGAGTGAAGCCCCCATGGACACCTTTTCTTTTGATTAAGGAGTGTTGAAGTTCCCCAGTCCTATACAGGTATCCATTTCTGCTGTGTGTTCATGATGGCCACAGTCAGGTCTTATTTGGCTCATAATGTTCTCTGCCACTTTAACCTCTCGCTTTTACATTCATTCTTCCTCTCCCATGATTTTCACTAGAGCTTGGAGGGTGACATATGTAGCCTGTTTAGGATGAAGAACTCCACAGTCACTTATCCTCAGTCCTTAGATCAGATATGAGTATATGAATTATTGTCACCCTTTAAAAAGGAACTTCTCTGTCCCAGACTTAGAAGCAGCCCTAGTTTATAAGTATAAAGATATTCAGAAGGAATTTTGACAACATGTCTATTTAGGGAACAGCAGTGTGTTTCCCTATTCAGTCCAAGACCTACTGAACCATATAGTACCATGTGTCTAATATCTCCTATGGGAGTGGTTCTCCCATCCAATCACAGAGCAGTTGGCTACCTCCAAGGGATTTGATCCCTGGTACAATACTCTATATCATCTCTAATTTAGATTTAACCCTTATAATGTGTCTTTTTTCTGCTTCAATTTATCAACAGTCTTGGCAAAACTAGTGAGCTCTTTGGCAGTATCTATATGAATTATCTTCAATCCACTTGTATATTTTATGCAGGTTTACTCATTGTTCCTGAATGTTGATTCTGTAGGACAGAAGTCTTTTACTGACCACACTATAAACATTACAGTCAGGATGCAGAAGTTACTTGACAGATTTGCTACCTGGGAACCATAGAAGCTTTGTCGATTGCTTTCTGTATTTAGACCTTATGTGATAGAGGGATCTTTTCTGTCACACCTGTTGGGTGATGCATGAAATGCTTTGTCTCTGACATTCAAGGAACTCCTGCGATGTGATGTTCCCCCTTTGTCCCTTTTACCTTTTATAGGGCCAGTGTGGCTATTTAGATGCTTAACCCAATACATTAATCTCCTGCTGGTTATGTATTAACAGTCACACAATACTCAGCATTTAGTAACTGTTGGCAGTACTAACGAAATTGTTTATAATATAACTGTATAAGTTTTCTATGTTTGAAACTAAATTATGTGAGATGAGTTGCACCAGTAGCAAATGAAAGTGACTGGATATAGTGTCAGAGACCATGAAGTGTTCGATTTCATTCACAGGTACCGGGACTGAAATAATCATGGGTTGACTGAAGTGTAAAACTGGGGACATAGATGGTGGTAGTCCAGGCCTCCAGAGGACCTGCTTAACAAGGAGTTTGGTTGCTTTACTACTGGGGGATCTCTTTAAGAATCTTGAAGTCCAGAATGTATGGTGTTGGGATCTAGACTCAGACACATTGGACAGTAGTAATTGAGGCCAGGGGTTCAGAGCATAGGAACATGGATGAGTCACCTGGCTTTTTTCTTTTCTTTTTTCTTTTTTTCATTTTTACAGGCATCTGTTCCAAAATGCTATGGGCCAAAAATTAGACAAATATTTTATGATTTTGAGATAAATTCCCCCAAATACATTTAATTTTTAGGAATAAAGAGTTAATTATCTTGGTAAGGGTACTGATGAGGAATAAGGGGTGAAATGATGTTAGATTTGGACAGTGCTGTTTTTATTGTACATATTTTTTTCTTAATTCTATTTTCCCGGTTAACTCTAGAATGGCTCTCATCCAGACAGCATGCTATCCTTACTACAGGCTTTGGAAGGACATATTTATTTGGATTCCAGAAGCATCTATTATTGGGTTGAGTATTCACAGAACACAATTAGGAAAGACTATGACCTTGTGGTTAATGGGAAAGTTCTTTATCATAAAGATATTATGAAATCATCAACTATTATGACAAGATAGTCATGCACTGCTCTTTTTTTCAGTATCAATTCCACTCTCTCATGTTTTCACTTCTTTCCCTAGTCATTAACTGCCTTGAGTTAACTACTATTTTTACTTGTTAAAACATAGATAATAAACTTGACTGACATTTTCTCTTTATTTTTTTATTGCCTCATCATGTTTCATTTGCCCTTTTTTTCTCTCCGCTTACAATTTCATATCACCATCTTGGGAAATAACAGCCCTTCCTTCAAATATTATTGTTCACTGTTTCCCATTCAGTCTCACTTGGAGCAACTTTACAATGCAATCTTGGTAGTTTTCTGAATAAAACGAGTGCAGTGTGACACACCAGATGTGGTTACAGATCCGTCTCGTGAAAAATCTATACATCAGCCAATTTCCAATTAACCTTTCTTCAAGATGAACATGGAAATGCTATCATTGTTCTTGTATGACTTTCTAACCACCTTCCAATGATCATATTTTAGATGTGTTGATGAGATCAGTAGGCAGCTTTGCTGCTTCCAGCAACTTAGTACCAATTCCCTTGTTGATTCCAAGGTCCAAAGTCAGTTTCTTACTAGCACTTGGGCCTTGGTTTTCCTTATCTCTCTTTTACCATCTTTCACCTTCTATATTGTGTTCTCTCTATCTTTGTCTCACCCCCTCTCCCTTTGACCCCCCTTTTCCTCCTCCCATAAGGAAACTAATTCATCTGTGTGATATAGCTTTGTAAGGAGGCAGAGCCACCCTGGCAGTAGAATAGGGTGGAGTTCCTTACATGGTAAAGACATGGATACAAGGATCTAAGGTTAGAACCAGAGGCAAGTGTAGCCTTGTAGACTACCCCAGTCACCCACCACAGCTAGCCACACCCCACCTGAGATGTTTCAAGCATGAGCCTGTGCAAGATATTTTGGATCCAAATATAACACAAAATAGCCCAAATTAGTCTGGGAATGTGATTCAGAAGTAGAGAAATTGTGGACTATATTTGAGACCAGAAGTTCAATCCCTAACACTGCTAGAAGGAAAAGGAAACAAAAACCAACTTCTTTTCAGGGAAAGCTGAAATGAATAAGCTTCCAGTAAAAATGCATATAGATCTGGACAGTAAACTTCACGGGGATCAGGCTTTTTTCATGAAAAAAAAAACTATGAGGTTTTAGCAGCAAAGCTTGGAAACACTGGCATCTTTTATAAATCAAGAGTGCAGCAGCATGACATGAAAATAATACATGTGCAGAAACATAGCCCGCATACAGTAAAAAGCAGGGGAGAGAAAGCACAAGGATGTATATAATGTTACACTTCCATTTTTCTTATTTATCAATAAAAACTTGTTTTCTCTAATATGAACCAAGTAGAGATGGGTAGAGAGGATGGTTTTTCCAGAAAAGAAATGACCCAAGCAAAGACAAGGATGGGATAAGAGCTAGCTATTTTCTGAATATATGAAGCCATAATGTTCTCGAAGTGTGAAGATTATTCACAAAACTCTAATGGGCAACTCAGTGGCAGCAACCAAACATGTGGCTGTGGAAGAGCTGAAAGGTGAGTGCTTCAGATTGAGACATGGTGAGTGTCTCCTACCAGAGTTCAAGTCCTAGCATGTCCTGAAACAGAATATTTCACTGGCTTCCAGGTTAACTTCATGGTAAAAATAGAAGCTTTTGTGTATTAGATTGAATTAACTAATTACATTATGGAATTTGATTCACTTGATTTTTTAAATTTATAAACCGAGACTACAGAAAATTTTTATGTTTTTAATTTTGTCTTTATGTGTGTGTGTGTATGAGAGAGAGAGAGAGAGAGAGAGAGAGAGAGAGAGAGAGAGAGAGAGAGAGAGAGAGAGAGAGAGAGAGAGAGCAGGGGGGTATTTTGCTCTTTTGGGCTCTTTTGACTCTTTGAGAGGCCCACCAGCCAGCTCCCAAATAAAACACACATGGAGTCATATTCTCAGTTATGAATCCCCAGCCTTAACTTGGTTTGTTTCTAGACAGCATTTCTTATCTTAAATTAACCCATCCACCTCTTCCCTCTAGGCTTTTTTTTTTGTCTTTCTACTTTTTATCTGACTTTCCTTCTTACTACATGGCAGTCTGGGGGTCTGTTGCCTGACATCCTCCTTTCCTTATTCTCTTGCTGCCCCTCTTCTTCCTAGGTTTTCCTTGTATTTATCCTCTCTGCCTGCCTTCCTCACTATTGACCGTTCAGCTCTTTATTAGGCCACCAGGTGTTTTAGACAGGCAAAGAATCACAGCTTCACAGAGTTAAACAAATTCAGCATAAACAAAAGTCACACACCTTAAAATAATATTTTGCCAAATGGGAGAGTCAGTGTTCATGTGTTTGTTGCCCATGGAGGCCAGAAGAGGGTGCAATATCCCCATAAGCTGCAGTTACAGGCAGTCTTGCGCTCTCCAGCTTGGGTGCAGAGAACTGAGCTTGTGTCTGTTGAAAGAGCAACAAGTGCTTGTAACCACAGAGATGTCTCTCCAACCGCAAAAGTAATTTTAAAGAGAGAAGCATCACTGCTCCACTATTGGTAATCACACTGCTTAAAGAAGCAGGTAGAGGAAGGCATGACTCTGGGTACTGCGCCTGCTCCTATTAGAATTAATGTGGACTCGTCTTTGGAAAAGAAAAATTGAATAATTCTTAACATTTGAACACCCTTATCACCTAAGAAGGTCGGGTTGAATTGGAGGGTTTCTTTTTTTATTACCTTTCTAACCTCACTTGCATTCAATGCATATGTCCCATATCATTATTATCTGATTATTCTAAGAGCTGATGGGAACCCATCCATCCCAAAGCAAACAAAGTTTTGGCTGGCTCTCCTTCCAGTGGGCCCTCGCTCCTATGGCCATGGTTAAGTGACTCGATCTCCTCCAGTCTAAGTTTTTCAAGTGTCACATTTAGGTTAGGGAAGAAGTACTCATGGACTGCTGTGAAGATAAAATGAGGTACTTGTCTGAGGCATTCAGCATAGTTCCTGGCACATTAATTTCAATAAATATTAACTGGTTTTATAGACATACCTTGGATTCCGAAAACAGCTTTCATTTACCTTCCCATAGTTCAAGCACTTTATTGTTGTAATGGGATGAACTGACAGAAGCCAAAGTGATTTTTCTAACATTTTTAATGGATTAAAAGCACTATTGGCATTGGAGCTCAAATATCAACTAGTCTAGGCCATGGGCCAGGAGCCAGAGAGTACTGTTGACTTTCTGAGAAAGAAGCTGGAGTGAGCACAGTCATAGCATCCTATCACTGAAATGCCCGGCCTCACATCAGTGCTAAAGTGACAGATGTGTCAGCCAGGCTTCACAGTCACAGACAGACTGAGGACCACATTAATCTCACACCACAGAATCAGCACTTGAGATGTGATCTCACGTCCACATTAGGTCGTGATGGAATCCAGGCGGGGCTGGGAACTCTAAACAGAACAGAGAACTGGATTTTGGCAAATGGTGACATATATTTGTCATTAGAGATCCAATGTATATGTCATGGTGACAAGGATACCTGAATGCCAGAATACTCCTGGCTTCTGGATTTTCAGCCTGGAAATGGGTATGTGGGTCCGCATCAGGTGTGTACGTCAGAAGAGCATGGATAGAAGTGACAGGACACAGGGCTGCAGCTGGAGCTGGCAGTGATCGGATCACATCCCGGGAAAACTTGGGTGGATGTTGTGGGGAGATTCTCAGCTTCCTGCTTTATTTTTGGAATTTTGGGGCAAGGGAGACATTGCCAGCGATGGATCCAGTCTTGGTTCGGTAACTGAGCTTTGATGTGCATTCAGCAAAATTAGTTTTACGAGTTCCCTTACAGAACTGCGTTGACACGTTACTGTTCCTTCACCTTCTCCTGCCTGTGTTGAACACATAAAGGAAGGCTAGATTTGCATATTGAAAAGTGAGTTTGGGGCAGAGAGTAATCCATGTCTCCCTCCTTTGCTTGAAGAAGAGAATGAAGACAGAGGCAGACAAGTTATGGTAGCTGTCTCTGACATTGCAGGAAAGCAGAAAACAAGGCCATCACAGTTGCCTGAGGCTTGGAGTTGGTGGTTCCTCTGGGAGATAAAGGGTTTTCCTGTGAGATGCGTTTTACCTTAGCCTATAAACAAGTCAATTGTGGTGTCATTCTGCAGGCTGGAACATGCTACTCTGTACCCTTGTGCAACTCACCCTGCAGTCCTCACCTTTAGTTTCTACAAGTGGAAGTCCGGCATAAATAATAGAGCCTATCCCTTGGGATTGCTATGAAATTGAAATTAGAGCTTTAGTCTAGACAAGCCGGCACACCTGTACACAGTGAGTAAACGTGAGTAAGGAGATCTATCCACTCTCTAATCTTAGTGGACATTGTACTTGTTTGCTGACTTAGTAATATAATCCGTTTAGCGCAAAGCTTTATTATGACCAACGAAATTTGTAGACCCAGTGTCTGTAGACATCGAGTAAACGGGCAAAGTGTTGAATCAAGAGGGTCTATTAGCAAAGATTTAAGGCAAGCCTGGTCAAGAAGCCCAATTCCCAAGGAAGCTCTTATTTATTGAAGTGCAGGATATACCTTGCAGTACTGTAATGGGGAGGGAGGGGTCAGGAAGGAAAGTTCCCAGCAGAGGCAGAGTGGCAAAGCAACCACCCTCATGGGTGGCATACTCGCACCTTTAGTATTGCACAAGGAGAAATCAACAAGGGTGTGCTTGTTAGTCTCCTTTCCCCTTTACACCCGATGCCCCTTATCCCCACTTGTATCTGTCCTTCCTTGCTGCTGGCACACGTAGGGAACCTCCCATCATCTATCTCCCACTATGTCTGTGGCTTCCTAGCTAGTCTCTTGCTTGCTCCTTAAGAAGTGTCCTCATTAGGTCAGTCAGTCAGTGTCTGACACTCCTGGCGTGGGAAAAGGCTGAAATGCTTCCCAGGCTTCCCCACCGTGGACCCACAGAACCTTACACGCTCTCTGCGCAGTTCCCTCTCAGCCACTCTCTACTTCTGTCCGGTCCTCAATCTTTTGGGTGTGCTCAGCCTTGAGACCTTCCAGCAAGATAGACTAGACATCAGCAATGAATTCTCTGCAACCGCTTCCAGCTTTCAGGTTACTTGAAGTCCTCCTTGACTCCTTTTAGCTGGTTAGTGCCCATTGATATCGGCCATCTCTGCACTTTGCCAGTCTTCTCTGGTGCCCTCTCCCTGCATTAGGCATTAATCTAGTAATTGACTTCTCGACACCAACACCGTAAAATCCGTGTACTATGTTTCTTGTGGGATCCAGAAGACCCATTGTGGCAACCATTACATGGTGAGTGATGATTAAACATTTATGGAAAGAGAGGCAAGGGAAATGGCTCAATATGAAGCGGCCACTACATACGTATTAGGATCAGAGCTAAGATCTCCACCACCCAGATTTGAAAAAATAGGCTAGTGTGGAGTTGTGAGCCTGGAGCTCTGGAGCTTGGGGTGGTGTGAGGTGAGTGAGTGGTGAAGAGCGGAGATGCACAAATCCCTGAATCTCAGAGCTCGCTGGCCACCCAGTCTAGCCAAACAGCAAGTTGTAGGTTCAGTGGGAGGCCCTGTCTCCAAAAGGTGAGGTGAGATGGAGAGCAATACAAGAAGATGACTCGTGGTGATCTGGGTCCCCAACACAAGCCTGCAGACACAGGGACACTCACACACGATCTCTCTCTCTCTCTCTCTCTCTCTCTCTCTCTCTCTCTCTCTCTCTCTCTCTCTCTCTCTCTCTCTCTCTCTCTCTCATTTTCCATCACACCCACCCTTCCTCCTAAGTACATCTGTGGAAAGAATGGGCACAAGAAGAGAAGAAGGGGATCAGTGCAAGACAGAGCAAAGGTGTGTGACAAAAACAAAACTCAAAGAAATATTGGAGTGAGGGGAGCAGAAGAAGATGAAAGTTTGTGCTGGGAAGGAAGGGAGAGCGGGAGGAATGAAATGACTCTATGAAGCCACAGTGTAAAGGAGAAAGTACCTTGGGACTCACTGGAGGTGCAAGGTGGAACGGAAGTCACTTTGTAGAAGCTAGAAAGAAAGAAAAAAGCCACCATGAGCCGCAAACCAAGCAAAGAGCATCTTGTGTGGTGCAGAGTGCTGACACAGTAACATTCTTGTACCAAGGGGAAGGGAGCTCCTCATCTAGATGCATGCTGTGTTTAAGACACCCGGACACCCACCTGTCTCTGCCAGCTCTTCCAGTGTTAGTCTTCTCAATGCTTTGCAGCTGAACCTGAGAGTCCCTTATGAATAGTTGTCAGTCCGCATAGCCCAGTGAATTTTAGCAATTTGTGTTTTCACACACACACACACACACACACACACACACACACTCGAGTGCTATAAAGTAGCTGCATGCCAAATCAAGCACTGATTGTATTCAATTGGAAAGCCTCCTTTCCCTGGAAGTGCCATAATGGATCTTGTCAAATGCTGATGTATCTTTATGACACGAATTTATCTACTTAGCAAACCCCTTTTCCACCATCTCTAAAATGTTCACGCCAATGTTCTCAGGGACTTTTAGCGTCACAGCAGTACCAATTCTGATGCCCAGAGTACATGTTTACTTTCTGGATTCTCTTGCTGGGTGATCTAGCCTCTCCCACCCTCACCTCTGCATCTCTCCCTTCTGCATCCCTCCCCTCCTACACTATGGGAGACTCCAAGGGCCATCTCTGCCCACCTGTGAGGAGACAGCCTGTGGTCTGATGGCGTTGCCACCTTCTCTGTGGGACAGAGTGTTGCTAGAAAGGACGGGAGGCAGGATCGTGGGGAGATTTGTCTTAGTGATGGCAGCTTTTGTATCTGCAAGTGCAGCCACCTATGACCCGTTGCCCACCTTATTTGGCCTATTTTCTCCAGACTGCTCTTGATGGCTTCTCTTCCTGACACCTCCCCACACGCTCCCTTCCTGCTGCCGTAACTCTCAACTTCTCTGCTTTCTTCTCTCTCCTTCTTTTCCTCTCCTGATGTCACTTAAACTTTTTATCTTCCTACCAAGTTTGATCAGATTTTCTCTTTTGTCATAAAAGAGTCTTAGGAAGACTAGGCAATAAGGAGCAAGGTGGAATTTTATGTCTGGAGTGAGGGCTTGTTATTCTTGCAAGAGACTCCTGCCATCGCTGCCACTGGGCTTCTGAGAGAGCTCATTGTTGGCATCACATCCTTTTAGGGGCTTTGTACCAGTAACTGCTCTTCTCTGAAATGCATTTCTCCTCCTGTGCTTCAGAAAATCCTTTCTGTCCTTTACTCCTACATAGTAAATGCTATTTTTACTTTCCGTTGTGTATCTTAAAGTCTGTTTACCTTCTTTCTGTAAACTCAAGTCTGTCATAGTGAGCATCAATGATCCCCAGGTTCCCACACAGCCCCCACATTCCTGCTCCTTTAAATGGCAAAGGCATGAAGAAAGGAGGCTCCGTTCCTTACCGCCCGGCACTGTCCTGAAGACATCTGAGCACTTCTTTACCCTAGTCTTCATGCCTGAGAAATGAGACATCCAAACCACCCATCTCATCAGACTGACACTAGTGTCAAGTGAGTTCATCCCTGTAAAAATAAAATGGCTGTCCACAGCTGAACCTCAGTAATTATTATTACATGCGACCAGTCGCTGATACGCAATAGCTGGATTTTTCTGGTACCTCTTTCTAGTTATGTTTGTTTGCTGCTTCTTTTTTACCAATATTTATTGTGTGTGTTTGAGTGAGAGGCTCAGTGTGAGATGTCTTTTGATGTGTGGGGGGGGAGGGGCACTGGAGGTCAGCATGAGTTGTCTGTTGATGTGTGGGGAGGGGGAAGATGTCAGTACGAAGGGTCATCCTCTATCACATTCCACTGTGGTTTTGAAACAGGGTCTCTCACTGAGTCTGGAGCTCATGGATTCAACAAGACTACCTGGCCCACAAGTCCCAGGGATCTCTGTCTCCACCCCCCATAGCACTGAGCTCACAAGTGCCATGCTGGATTTTTGCAGGGGTGCAGGGGGTAGAACCCAGGTCCACCTGATTGTGCAATGAACTCTTAGAAGCTGTGTCATCTTCTTAACCTCAGGTGTTTACCATTCTAAGACTTAGGTGTTTATAACCATCTGCTCACAGAGAATTCTGCTTCTAGAATCACCTTCCTCAAACTCTGAAGTCCATCTTGTCTTTAAATCTCTTCCTTACTTTGTTCCTCACACACAGATACTTTAACATCTGGCTGCTGATTCCTCCTTTTAAAGTACAGTTCAGGGAGGTGATTTTAATTTTTAAGCGCTAATCAGGGTAGATGTTGTTACCATAGAAACCAAATTTCTCATCTCAAACGTGACAGCAGTGATCACTCCTGACAGTTCACAGACCTGAGTCTCAGACAATCAGAGGCAAAGCAATTTGGAGGCCCGTTCGTTGAGAAATTTCCCTTTTTGTGATTTCAAGGAAGCCAAGTGCAGACACTCCCAATTTGCCAGAAGCAGAGAAAAGCCTGGATTGAGAGCCAAGTGCCAACTTTCAGCCCAAGGTATCAGTCCCTAACACATTTTTATTATTCTCTAGAAAATAAGGTTGTAAAAGAGTAATTGCTGACACAACCTTAATGATAGCATTTTAAGTATGCTGCTGTAATTAAAATAGGGATTTTATTATGCTAGACCTCTGAGAGCCCAGCCTGTGAGCCACTGACATAGCAGGATTTACAAAGCAAGCAACTTTGACGCCTGCTGCTTTTGCTGTGTGGGCTGCACGCTTCCTTTGTGCCTCTCCTAGTTGTAGCTTGTGTACAAAACCACCTCTCTCTTGGCAAAAAGCAATAAGCATCTGTGTTTCCGATGATGCCCTGCAGCCACGATGCTTCAGCTTTCCACAGACTTAGTTCAGAAATGTCATGAAGGAGCTCCTCTTTCTCCTTTGATTTCCCTCAGAATAAAGCTTTCATGTGTTGCACAATGAGGTTAAAATCCTACAAGGCTTCCTGATTAAAGTTTGAAAAGGACTCTCATTTCAGAGGATGTCATATCCATATGCCCCCATGAACCCCACTCCCCACCCCCTCACCCCCACCCCTTCTTTACCTGATAGACAGGTTAGACACTGAGTGCAGCTGGGATTAAAAAGACCAGAGATGGTGGCTTTTGACAAATGGCATGATGTTTTCTCTTTCTCTCCTATGATGAAACTTGAGTTTGTGGCCCACATATGGTTTCGAGTGGGGCCCCGAAGCCTCAAGCTTTGGCTGTCTGACATCTTTAATGTGTAGTTGTTGCCTGGGGCCCTGACATAGCTGAGTAAGCAGCAGACATCCAAGCCCCTGAAAGGAATAAGGCCAGGGAGAAGACTCACATCCTAGCCATCATTCTTCTTTTTGAAGAACCTATCCCTAGATGTCTAACCGCAAAATAGGCATGTACAAGTCCTTGGCCTGAACCTAGACTTGTGAGAAAGGATGGTTGATAAACTGATTGTACTGTCATGTCTCTGAGACACCTATCTTCTGGAAGAAGAAAGATATGGTGGTTTAGCAATTAGCTGCTTTTGCTGTACCTGATGGCATATGTTATTGTAAGAAGTAGAAGCAAATTTAGGCTTTCTTAGAAGTATACTATTTTTCCACCATAAATGAAGTTGTCCCTTCTTATTGTTTGGGTTCCTTGCCATCGAAATCAACCAAACATGAACTAAAAATACTCAGGAACAAACCCCCTGCACCTGTACTGATGTATACAGACTTAGTTGCCTTGTGTTTATTCTTCAAACAATGTAGTATGGCAAGTGTTTACACTGTGTTTATACTTAATTACTGCAGGCAAAGTAGTGCAGAGCCTCTTACACTTTTTCATTTGTGACTCTCACTTGTCTGAGAAGTATACTGGAACCTGGATAGGTAGGCATATAAACACTGCCAACAAATTCTCAACAATTTTATTTAAAAATGTTCCTTTGTAAAGCATGATTTTACCACTCATGAACAAGGAAAAATATATATATATATATTAATGAGGGAGATACCCTTGTTTATTTTTACACAAAGTATTAAAAAGTGCCTGAATATTATGTGGAAGGATATAGAGCATTGTAAATATTTTGGGGTTGATTGATATTTTGATTTTTAGAAGTATCAATGTTGTAGGTTGTCGCTTTACATGCAGATGTGGATTAAAATGTCAGAAGTGTATTTCGGGTCATTTTAGAGATTGTTGGAGATCCTGTTTTAAACCAAGCCAATTCACATAGAGATTTTTATGAGATTCAAGTCATCAACTCAAACTTCAAGTTTCAAAATTAAGCATTCTAGTTCGGGACAACCCAAATATATATTAATTTGGTGCATTCATGTGAAGGAATGATGGTAGGAAAATATTGAAGCTCTTCATAGTCAGTAATTAAGTCATTAGCTTCCCCTAAGAGCAGACAACTTGGTATGTGCAGTTAGAAACAATTCTTAATTCATATTGCAGAATCCACCCTGGTTGATTAGTATAAAAGAAAGCATTTAATTGGAAGCTTATTTATAATTTTAGAGTATTAGTTCATAAACATTGTGACAAGGAGTGTGGCAGCAAGAAGGCATTGTCCTCTATTATTAAGTAACCTCATTCAAAATCTTATATATGTATGTGTGTTTCAGGAGGCTTCTACAGTAGTAGGCATCTATCTATAAAGCATGTTCAAGTGTCTCTCCATTGTCTCCTACCCCTCTCATATTTACAGCTCTATTATTTTCCTCTCCCCTTCATATCACCTGTGCTCTATCTCCTCTTCTTGAAGCCCTCTTCCCTATGGTTTCCTACTGTCTTAGTCACTGTCTATTTCGTGAAGAAACCCAAGACCACAGCAACTCTTATAAAGGAAAACACTTAATGGAAGCTGGCTTATCATCAAGGCAAGAAGCGGGGCAGCATGCAGGCAGACGTGCTGGAGAAGGAGCTGAGAGTCCTACATCTTGATCCACAGGCAGCAGAAGGAGACTGTGTGCCATACTGGGCATAGCTTGAGCATATGGGAACTCAAAAACTCCCTTCCACAGTGACATACTTCCTCCAACAAGGCCATACCTACTAATATTGCCACACCCTATGGGTCAAGCATTCACAAAAAGGAGTTTGTGGGGGCCATTCCTATTCAAATGACCACATCCAAAAAGGGTAAAAAATGCCTTTAGTTTTAAAGCTCAGAAGAATGCTCTCCGTATTTGTTCAGTGGCTTGTCTTCACAATAGGTCTGCACATCCCATGCAGACAGGATCAGGTTAAATTCTCAGTGACAGGTAGTGTGACCAAAGGCAGAAAGGTCAGGAGATTAGTTAGCATATGCAATGCTCTAGCTTGCTTTCTGTTGCTGTTGTAAGCACCATGAGCAAAATAATTCAGGAAGAAGGGGTTTATTTGGTTTATAGGTTACAGCCAATTGAGGGAAATTAAGATAGGCACTGAAGCAGAGACCAAAGAGGAACACTACTTACTTGCTTGTTTCCCTTGGCTTGCCTGGCTGCTTTTCTTATACAGCCCAGGTCCTCTTATTCCTGGATGACACTGCCTACAGTGAGGTTAGCCCTCCTACATCAATTAGCAATCAACAAATGACCCACAGACATGCCCACATGCCAGTCTGATGGAGGCATTGCCTCAATTGATGTTTCCTCTTCCTAGGTTGGTCAGGTTAACTACCAAGATTAGCCATCACATGCACATATAGGCAAATTTGAAATAAGTAGTCTGTCTCCTGCATCCCAACTCAGTGCTATGTCCTGGCACCTTGCTCCATACAAATGGCATAGAAAATACCACATCTGAGATAATTGTCTTTTGTGTAGATGACTCTCTTGGCAACCTATTCTTAGATTAGTATTCCATCAGATTCTGGGTTAAGAATAAACTTATTCTAGATTAACCACTTGTATCTCGAGTCACTGGCCCACTTTTAAAAGGATACATGATTCCTATGTAATTGTGAAATTTGAACCTTTGGGAATAGATAATTCTGACATGCATAAATGCAGGAGATGGCTATTGACCTTTAGATTAGTAACAAATTGTAAATTTGATCTTAAATGATAAATAATGTGTTTCCCACTCCTGGAATGTTCCAGTAAGTTGCATTACACACTTCTCTTATTTGCAATCATAGATATTTGTGAAATAATTTTCAGTATTTTACAACCACTGTTACCCACTATTGATGGATGAGATCTTTTAATAAGAATTCAGAGTAGCAAAATCATATAAAGTGCTAAGAAATACTGTATGTGTAATAGTAAAAGAAAAATTATTATTGTGCTACAAGTGTGTTAAGAAGTGGATTAAAAATAAAATTACTAATAACTGGACTAATTTCATACTTCATTTACTCTACAGTAATTATATATACTACATATGATTATATATTATATACACAATTTTATATTAGTTATATATGTATATATATATATACATATGTATATTATGAGTCTGGGTGCCATACCACTGTTACTATGATCAGTTAAGGCAGAGTTTTCTAAACATTTATTTAGCTAGAAAATGGCAAAATGTAGATGTATAAGCATGAAGAAAGTGTCTTTCTCCAAAATGTGTGTGGTTTTCCTTCAGATATGTGCTGCAATTAAGCCA